GATGATCCCGAACTCGAGTTTCACTGTGTAGAAAGTAATGAGAACAATGATAGAAGAACAAATTATAATTCCTTCCCTAACCCGAAAACGTCGTTTGGAGTCAACAAGTACATATGCTACAATAATTACATCAATTATAATTATATTATTTTAATGTACATGCAGCATTTGTAAATGTTCTTTGTGCTCGGAAAATTTTGGTATATACATTATAATTATCGTTATTACATGTATTTGATCTATATATATATATATAGAATATCTCACACCCCAGTAGTAGCCTAGCCATGGCAAAAAAAATGTCGGGTCATGTGATCTGCAATAGCTCCATTAAAATATCCGATTAATATTAGATATCAAGTATTAGGGTTAGGGTTAGATTTGAGTGTAAGGTTATTATATATAAAATTGGCTTTCCGACATTTTTTGATAATGTGTCAAGCTAGATTTAGATATTTGTTTTTTGTATTTTTCGCATTTTTGTCTTTTCTCATTTTCTTGTGCCGGATTTGTTTTTCCGGGATGATCAAAAATTTGCTACATTCTTATTGGTTGCGCAGAATTTTTGTGCGTTCTTATTGGTTGGATTTGTTTATTATCACGTGATCCAACATCTTTTTTTGCCATGGCTAGGGTACTTCGTACTTGACGTAACAGTTAACGTTTGCTGAAGGCCGTGAGAATATATGTAGATCAATTGACGATATATGTATAACGATAAGGAATGTTTATTCTTCAAACAAAAACTAATGATGGCGTTTGCCGCAATAGCAGGAACAGCAATAGCGGCTAGCTATCTAGACGCAAAATACGGAATTGTGAGAGATATAAAAACTATTATGAACAGGAGTTCGAAAATTTTGCCACAGTAAAAATTAGTTTATTTGTTTCTCTTTGTAATTACAGTTGAACCTCAAGAACATGATTGGGAACCCAAAAAATTGTTCTTATACTATAGATTCATATGAATGAAATGCGGGTTCTTTCTTATAAATTGAGTTAAATTTTAAATAATTTTGTTTGATAGGGTAATGGAATTGAATAAACAAGGATATGGTTCGGCTTTTTTTCTTGTTGAAGATGCTGCTAGAAGATGGCCGAATAAAGAGGCGCTCGTTTTTCAGGATCGAAGTTGGACGTTTGCACAATGTGAGCAAGGTAAAAAAAAAGCATCGTATTCTTGATGGTGTCTGTTTTTAGATAATAAATTAAAATTCAATTTCAATTATTCAAATTTTGATAGAGATCAGTAAATTGGTAAACAAGGATAATTCTTGTTTATTATAATATATTCTTTCGCTTAAGTAAAGTGTTATTCAATATAGGCAGACTGGGTACAATCTCAAGGACTAAAACAAAACGGTAAATTCATGAGAATTCTTTATTTCATTAATGACGACTTTAATTTCTAAATCTAAGTCCAAGTCCACAATCCACACACAGATGTTGTCGCAATATACATGACGAATTCAGATCTCTACGTCTTCCTTTTTTTCGCATTCGCCAAACTTGGAATCATATCATCATTACTAAACACAAGTCTCCGTAACGAAACTCTCAAATACGCTCTCGACTTATGTAAACCAAAATTAGCTATTGTGAGCGAAGACCTGCTCTTAAATATTATAGGAATAAATGAAACTCCAATTGTCGAATTTCGATTCAGTAATAAAGCGTCAAAGAACAAAGATGATGACAACCACAAGAGTAATGGTGACACGACGACACGAACAAAACGTTTGTTTTTGAACGAATTGCCGAAAAGTGATTTGAATAGCTTTATTAGACCGAAAATACAGTTATCCGATATTATGTGTTATTTCTATACGAGTGGAACTACGGGATTTCCAAAGGTAGTTTTCGTAACAACAAAAAATTAGTATCTATTTTTTATGCAATGATTTTTTTTTATTGCAAGGCTGTCGAAGTTGCACACTTTGGATTTATCTGTAAGTATTTCGCTCTTTAAACTTCAAGAATTTGCATAGAAATCAAGTCACGTTTTTTTAAAAATAGACATCAAATTTGTTGCTCCAACGAGACCAGGAGTTTACTTTTTCGATGATCGTCGATATTGTCCGTTGCCATTTTATCATGCTTCGGCGAGTAAGTATGAAATGACCTTAGGTTGATATAAAAACCTTTAATTAATATTGCAGTGTATTTTTTACAATTTTAGTGGCACTTGGGCTTGTCCCGTGTTGGGGAGTTGGCGCGACATTTATAACTGTGGAAAAATTCAGGGCCTCCAAATTTTGGGAGGAATGTCGAATCACTAATGCTACCAGTTTTCAGGTTTATCAGATAATTGTATTCGAATTTGGCTTACAGGTTATTTCAATTTTCGCTAATTTTCGACATACTTTATAATAGCATATAGGTGAGATCTGTAGATACTTGTTGCTACAGCCACCATCGATTCATGATAAGAATCATAAAATTCGTCATATTTACGGGAATGGTCTTCGTAGTGATATTTGGCAGGCTTTTAGAGAGCGATTTGGAATTGAATTAATTATTGAGTTTTATGGACAAACAGATGGTAAAAAAAAGATTTTTTTAAATTATATGTTTATTTATGGAAGACCATAAAATCTAACCGGAAAAAACACGACACGCAGGCGATGTGTATCTCGAGAATAAGAATTATGGGCTATTCGGGCTCGGAGCAGTCGCTTATCAAGGGCCATTGCTAAAGTAATAATTTATGATGCATTGAGAAATGGATTGAATTCTTTGCTAAAAAATTTGGTTTTTTTTTACAGTTTACTAGAAAATTCACATTTCATAGTAAAATTCGATTACGAAAAGGGTGTTCCTTATCGAGATCCAAAAACCAATCGATGCGTTTTGGTACGTAATACCCGCAAAATCCAACTATAATACTCAACTTCTGTTATATATCTAAATTTTTTCTGAAATGAATGAAGGCTAAGGTCAACGAGCCAGGAGAAATGATCTATAAAATGGGCCCCAATTCAATGAGTCCCAATTACTTGAATATTCCACTAAAAGAAGACCCCAGAAACCTGTTTGATGTATTTAAAAAGGGTGATTTTTGGAGACGTATGGGCGACTTGCTGGTTAATAAAGATGGGTGGTATTATTTTGTGGATCGGGTTAGCGATACATTTCGATGGAAGGGTAATTGCTTTTTATTTCACTGAATCTTTAATTTCACTGAATCAGCAAAAAAAAACAAAAGAATTAAACTTGTATTTTATATGGATTTCGAAAAATTTTTAGGTGAAAACATTGCATCGCAAGAAGTCGCAAAACATTTGTCTGCCTATCCACACGTCCTCGAAACAATAGTCTACGGACTGCCATTAAAAGTTTATGATGGCCAAGCAGGAATGGCAGCTCTGGTCCTCGATCCGAAAAAACAAAATTCAATTCAACAGACGATGAAAGAACTTCCTCGTTTTTTAGTCGAGCGCGGGCTGCCTAATTTCGCAATTCCAAGGTTTATTCGATTAATGAACGAGTACGTGATTTCAAATTTTTCGTCCAGTTTTCGATTTCACCTCTAAATGCATCATAATATATAATAATCTAGGATGCCAACTACCGTAACATATAAATACCAAATATACCAATTGCGTAAAGAAGGAATTGCTCGCACAACTTGTGGACATGATAACTTGTTTGTTTTGGATCCTGAGCAATTTATTTACACGCAGCTGGATGAGAATTTTTATCGTAAACTCGAGATAGGTGATGCCAAGTTGTAAAAATGGTAATTTACATGTAGCGGTAGGGATAATAATCACGTGTTATTCGAAATTAATGGAGTGTTACTGAAATTTAAGTACATGTAATTTTGTTTCGTAGTTTTCGTAAACTTGCAATTTATAAATAAACACAGACATCTTCCTGTGAATTACTTTATCATTAAAAACAGTTTTTTTTAAATATACAGTCAACTCTCTCTAAATGCACACACTATGTTTCTATTCTATAAATGCACACCTTGGTTCAGACCCAAGTCAATAATATTACTAAGTAGAATGCTCTCTATAAATGCACAAACTCTCAAGTTTGATTTTCATGTCTCCCGGCGGTGTGCATTTAGGGAGAGTTGACTGTAATTATTTAAGAAGCATGTATAATTTTTCTTTAGCTAATTTTAATTTGCTAACTGATCTCTTAGCGGTCAACATATTCCAAAACGAGTATGTATCTATTCGAGGCTGGTTCCTATTTCATAAACTATACACAGCGTTCCATTTTAGTGAAAATTTTCAAAAATCTGTTTTTTGATCAAGGAATCCGTTATATCGAGAAGGATTTATTATAATCCGTTCTGAACCACAATCCGCTATGCCGAGTTGATGCTCGTTTCATAATTTTTGAGCCTATAGCATTTTTTATTATAACGACCTGCACGAGTGCTTGAAGGAATTTTCTTAGGAAATGAGTTGTAACAAATAATCGAATTTGGGCTTTGAAAGTCTTTTCATATCGATATGAAAACGATTTACTTTTATCTACTTAAAAAAAATAGCCGTTGATTTTTCTTGTATTCGATAACGATAATTTGTAGATTCATAAGTGTTGGTTATGAGGAATATTGAAAAAGGTTTTCCTCGGAGTTGATTTCCATGCCAAACGCATAAACGTCCGTTGAATTTGTGCTTCCAAAATGAAAAGTTCTAAATCTATTTGAAAAGCTTAGCGTACAGAGGGGTCAGAGATCGTAGAAAGTTTTAATATAGCGATATACATGTAATAACAACAACAACATTGTCTGCTAACAAAAGATGCTCGTTTTTGTTTAATTTACTATTTAAATACAATAAACCTCGAAAATTCAAATTGCATATACAAATGGGTCGCAACAAAGATCTAACGAAGAATGTCACAATGTAAAAATGCTCAAGAAAGAAAGCATGTCTGCTGCAAAAATTGCACGCATCCTTGAACGATCAGCTACTACGTAGTGTCAAGAATTGTACCAAACGATTAAAATTAACTAATAATACCAGTTATTTGCAAAGAAAAAAATAGTGGCCGAAATCCATTGTTGATCAACGTTTTGTCTAATTCTTTGAAAAATTAAAACAAATCCAACAATAAGGATGCCAAAACTGCTGAAATCTCGTCCAATCACATACCCAAAAAGACCCTGATAAAAACTAAAGAAAAATGGTATCCAATCTCATATTGCACGTAAAAAACCAATGATTAGTGAATCAAACGGTTAAATTGGGCTAAAAAAAAACACAAGAATTGGATCAAAGAAGATTGGCGACGACGTGTTCTTTGAACTATTAGTTCATATGGAAAGGTCCGTGTTTGGTGTCATAAAGATGAGCTTTATGATCTTAATTGTGTTAAAAGTGGACGCAAGTCTATTATGGTCTGGGGATGCATAAATGGATACAATTTAAACCACTTAGTTCGCGTTCCATCATGTATGAATGGAGAGAAATACGGAAATCTTGTTCTAGATGTAATTTACCCAAAGGTTATGGTTGCTGAAGAGGCAATATTCCAAGAGGATAATGCACCAATTCATAAGAGCAAACCTGTAAAGAAGTTTAAGGATAATCTTGGAATCGTGACAGTAGAATGGCCATCACAATCACCAGACCTTGAAAATGTGTGGAGAGGTTATTGGAGGAAGTTGTATTTGCTGCATGGAATACTATCGCATTAGAAAAATTCTTTATTTGATAGACTCAATGCCAGAACATATTACGTATAGAAGTGATGGCAAAAAATGTGTATGCAACTTGTTGGTGAAGATCCCTTTTTAAGTAATGACGATAGGTTAAAGTTTGAGATTATTGATACGTAATTCAGTTGCGTATTTAATTTAATTTTTGTAACGATAAGTACAAAAATACGCAAATACAGTGCGTAATACGTACGTACCAGTATTTATGTAAAAATATTATAAAAAATTTTCGATATTAAATTTCAAAGCTGTAAACTCAGAAAAATCATAATATTTTTGAAAATTTAGTTTTTTCATTCAAAATACTAGCCACTTCCAAAAAATATATATTTGAATATATACGTACAAATTATTTCTTAAGAAAACCAATTTTTTGTTGAGTTTAAGATTTACCTATTGATATTTCATTGTCTTGATGATCACATTCTTCATCCATGTGTCGAAAAAAAGCGACGTTCTTGACATAGACCGCATTTTCTTGACATAGACCGCATTTTCTTGACATAGACCGTATTTTCAAAGTCTATGGATGGGCGATGATAGATCTATACATGTATTTAATCATGGGTAAAGTACAAGGGAGACGGGCGTAACTTGCCACCTCGTTTCCGTTTTTGTTGGTTGACACGTGTGTTTGATTTTGTCAGCAGGAAAACATACGAGTGCATGGTGACTCCCGTTAAGAATGTGCGTATTACATGTACATGTACGTACATGTACATGTATTAACCAACCTGTGCGACTTACACTGCAAGAGAAAACTAACATCTCATTGTTCATCCAACTATCGATATTGTCGATGTATTATTGCAAATTCTTTTAATAATAAGAGTTCCTGTATTTCTCTACCATTCAGTTTCACTCTTTAAAAATATTCAATGCGAGTTGTCTCGAGAATTCCATAATTGTAGTCACCTTACGTTTGTTTAAAAGTTGGGTCATCACAGAATAATTGATCAGGTCTCGGTTTTTGTCCAAACTTGCGGAACCCTAGCCTGGGGGACAAAAAAATTATTTTTTACAAAATAGTGAATTAAGGCCTTGCAAGGGAAATCTGTCGGATCCTAGGTCCGCCCGAAGGCGATGACACTCTTTTATTCTTTGGGATCTTCGAAAAAATTTGTCTACACGCTACTGATATTTTCTTATAATTCATTTTTAGCCAAATACTGGCGTGGTATTTGACTCCTCTGGAGTCCTCACTAAAGGTGGATGTTGGAAGAATTTCGGATCTATTGCGATTAATTTTGCAATAAGTCGATATAGTACTCGGATTGACAAATTACGCATGCCGTACATTATTCAGTTACGACACAACTTCACTTCGTGAGTGTTAGTATTACTAAGTACTAGTTGACAGTGTAGAATTATGTTAGGCAAAGGACGTATACCAATTGTAGCTCCATTCCTAACATATGAAGCTCAACATCATCGATCCTAATTAGTGCAAACGACGGAACCGGGGGCACGCTTTATTAATACACTGAAATAAATTACAAAGTACAGGTCCATTCTGACGTTTTTTTCTACATTCTACCCTCTTCAATTTTTTCCTTAAGACACATTCGTCAAACAAAAACATAAAAGGACACGTTGATCGAGGATTCATTCAGTATTTGTGTTAACCATGTATTGTTGACAGTAATTGACGATTGAAAAGCGGGTCTCGCAAAGATTGGTTCCATTAGCATTGGTAGTGGGGCGGGACGCCTTATTCATTTTTATAAATCATGAGCAACTCGCACGAAAAAAATATTAAAAACATCGACGGGAAGGAATATGCACATACCGATAAATTTTTTAATACGTCATCCATATCCTCTTCCGATGCTTCTTCATCTTTTTTTTTGAATAGGTTTTGAAACTTTTCATGCATCCATGAAAACATTGACTGCCTTGCTGTTAAAACAATATTGTGGATGTTCAATGAACTATAACCGAGTGAATAAAAATCACAACTACACTACTTACGCAGAGACGTGGTCGTGCTAACCATTGATTGTATGCTGATAGTAGCGATAGAGAAGCCAGACTCGCAACGGTTGCTTTCATTGACGTTATTATTGATTTGGACCTTATTCATTCTCTATCAATTGCATCTAATTATGAGCAACTCGCACGAGAAAAAAATAAACATCGACGGGAAGAAAACGTATATATACCGAAGAATCCTTTTTCACATCATCTCCAGACGCTTGGTTTACTCCAAATTCACACTCTTGTTGTATGATGAGGTGTAGATGTTTTTTGGGAGGTTGATTGGCGAAGTCTTCTGAGATTTCATCCAGGGGTGATAGTTGTTTCACACCTAAGAACTCATCCTTGTTGTTGGCGTTGAATTTGGCGTTGACGACGCTTAGCTTGTTGAGAGGAATATCGACCTTCCATAGCTTGAGTTCTTTGGAGTCAACATTTGCGAAAGTTCGAGGTTGCTTCTCCTTGATTAATTCTTTGAGAAGACCAATAGTATTAACCTCGCTGGTATTAATGACAACCGGGAAAGTATTTTCATAAGGATTTTCACCGATAACCAAACAATTGAGTGTGAGATTAATAGACATAGCTAATAAGAATGAAAGGAAAGGTAGCTCAAACAATATTTAAGCAGAAATGACACTCTGCCGATCTCTTATTTTTTTTTACCTCGATCATATGTCTGTCGCACAGATGTGATGCAACTCGCCCGGTGAAGCGCATTATCATTGTCACATGGAATGAACCGGTTTATCCTGTTGTGGCCAAAAATAATTTTCAATAAAATTATCGTTATCGTTATACATGTACATGTACTAATCTTGTGGCCTGAAAACTAAATCATTCTACGAACCAACTTTCGGAATATCGGATTCAGAAAATATCGGCATTACGGCTTTTGAGGTTCTTTTTAAGATAATTCTGACGAGTTTGCAATTTTGTGGTGGCAAGTATGGCTATTGGGGGAAATTGGGACAACTAATTCTTATCATATATGTTCGAGTTTTATTAAAAGATTATTTCTAAGAAGTTTCCTGTACTCTAATTTTTTATTCAAAACAAATTGGTGAGCATTATTCAGCACAATCTTTGCCTATATCAAAGATAAGCTGTAGGAGCTTGCTTATCTGGTGTTGAATGCTTCAGTCGTGTATTTACGATAGTGATGAAATAGAATTTATCGAGCTGCGGATATTAAGAAAACATCTTTTATTGTTTATGAAAGATTGTTTAGTTTTTTGCCTAAACCAATATTCGTTTTAAGATCAAATGTTCTTTTTTATAAATACGGTCGACTCTCTATAACGAACTGAAACGAACCTTAAATTTTTAAATTTTATATTAGTTCGTTATATATAAAAAGATCATAAAATGTCACTCTGTTTGAATCGTGGTACTTGACAAAGTCAAGCTAATTAAATTCCAGTTTTTCCAAGGCTTTCTTCTCAATAACTTTTATATAAATTAGAACGACCTTTATCTGTCAAATGCTTGGCAAACCAGATAATTTAACATGCCATTCATAATATTCAGATGTCAATATTTTATTAGGTGGCATTTACCTTGGTCTCTGATAATTTTTTCGAGTCAGAAGAGGCGTACTTTAATTTTATCACTTAACAGAAGCTCGTGGATGCATTTTAGCAACATCATCCATAAGCTTAATGTTATCGGGATCTTGAAGGATTTTGTCAAACATTTCACAAATAAGATTGTCATCTTCACGGGTAGAGATGATTGGGTATCACTGGTAAATCTTCAATAGTATAACCAAAGACTTTGTAATGGCATTGTGATCAGAAACCTTATCCTTGTTAGCTTTGATTTTGACAAAGAAAGAGAATATGTTAAAGCAAGTCAAGAAAGAACTTGGAAAACTTGCCCCACACAGCTTATTACAAACATTCTTTTATCTCTCGATCCTTCTGATAATTTGTTTAAGCCTAAGTTACTCTTCTGTTCTCCATCGTCTTGATGTAATGTGGCATCAGTGATGTCTAGGACCTTGTCCATTTATTCAATCAAGTGCCCTTAAGTGTGTTAAAAGATCAAAATCGACGCGGATTGCCAAAACATAAGGAACACTGCAAACGAAAAAAAAAACAAAGTTCAGGCTACTTATTTTAAATCAACGGAAAAGGATGTTACCTTGAACGGCTTCTGTTGAGTATGTTTCAACAAGTGTTCTGCAAGAACGCAATGTTAATTATCAAGAACATTGTATTATCCGAAAGCCTAACCATTCACTCGTTATCTTTTAATTCAATAAGGCTAATCTTTCTCTTATTGCAACCCTCACATAGACATAAATAGAAATAGGACACGTGTTCACCGAAAGAGATTCTGTCATAGGAAAAGAGATATCAGAGCTTTCGAGAGTCAAAGTAATACTCAATAAGTCCAACATACTTTTCTAATCGGTTAAATATTTCTCATGTTCCACGTTAATGTGAAACGCAAGTTCCTTCTGAGGATTAAAACATCTTTGTTTGGAATGAATATGGACTTTGTTCTGCCCTCCCATCTGCAGATGGATGGCATTTTCGATGTTCAACAATAATATGGATGTTTTAGCAGGGTGTGAGAAATGTTTTTGGATTTCGTCTGCCGCCATCAGTTCTACACTTACATTGTGACTCTTAAGACGTTTCAAATGTCCTAAGAGGTTTGAGGAACATTCATTTTCCATAACTTGAGCTCTTCAGCGAGGAAGGAATCGAAACGTGACTTCTCTTTTTTTTAATTTTTTCATTCTTGCTTATTTCAACTTCGAAAACGCGAGTAGTTCCTGGAAGAAGAATTAGACACCAAAGATAAACAGTAGACATTTGTATTTGATAATGAGCTATGAGTTTTATAGTCATGTTTATTGATCCGAAATCACAATACCACTAACTACATGTATATTAATCACGGGATTGTGTGTGAATTCTGGGTACACTCGTCGAAAATCTAGAATGATCGTGAGCAATTATGACAAATTTTATCGAACCAAATTTTTAATTAGGATTTTTGGGGATGTCTAAAACGGAGCAGTCCTGTGATCCAAATAGCGCCACATTGATTATGTGAAAACTGTCTCGTGATATAAAGTTTTGCTTGTCACTTTCACATATCTATATTTTTTAAAATATACTCTAAAAAATTAAGGTAAAATCTTGATTTGTTTCTATAATGTGTCATATTAAGTTTTCAATTTTCCATTATGACAAGCATTGAAAAAGCTGGTCAAAGCGTCGAAATTGTTAATATAAAACAACAGAATTTTAACTATATTGAACAATTGGTATCACAGTATAAAAAATTATATTATTTAGCTATATAACTTTGTAATGTGCAGATGAATTGATATTAAACATAATTTGATGATTTTATTCGGCAACAATAAATTTGGTGAAAGTATCAATTAGGTTTTGTATTAGTTTCTAATTTCTATGCTGATATCTACAAATATAGTTTTTCGAGAGGATAAGTTTAATAATATAACTTATATTTTCTAAACTCTATTAATATCAATATTAATTATAATTATTGCTTTTTTTTTTTAGATAAGAGTCTAGAACTTTTAAAGTCAAATTAATCAAATCAATTATTAATAAATTAATATCATATTGGTTAATAAGTAATTTATTATTCAAGAGAATTTAGAATATAACATTAATATAATTTAAGATATTTTAAGATACAGAACAAAAAAGAACATATTAATATTATTTATTTAATTTATATTTTTTTTCAAAGTTAAAGATTTCTTATTGTCCAGAATTATATTTTTCAATATATATTTTATACTCTTTTATCAATTTAATTTTTGAGTTTCTCTCTTTTATTTGTTTATTTATTATTATTTTATATTATTTATAAACTTTTAATTCACTTTTTTAAAATATTTTTCAAGTATTATTAGTAAGTAATTATATATTTTTTACTAATTGTGAAATTAGCTAATAAATATGAATAAGTATTAGAAAAATAAATTAAATAATAAGAAAGAAAATAAAATAAATATATCTAAAATTTTATATTAATTTTTACTAAAATTATATAGTTCAAAGAGAAAATAAAGTATAAAAAATGCGAAATAATAGAGTTTTAATTATATATAATGTTTTAATTAAGCATACTAATTAAATAAAAAGTATTAATTAATTAACAAGTTTCTTATTCTAATTAACTGATTTTTTGTACTAGTATTATAATATGAATATTTAGTTCTTATTTTATTGGTTAATTAATATTATAAATTTAATTGGATAATATTCTATTATATTCTATTGATTAATTTTATATTTATATTTTATTGAATAGTTATTTTTAGATAGTGATCACTTCAAATAATCACTTTGAATGATCATTTCAAATGATCATTCCAACTGATCATTTCAAGCACTCTAAATGATCATTTTATAATTATCAAATACTTATAAATACAGCTTTAATTTTAGCTTAGATTCAATAGCAGAAGCAATAGCTCAAAAAGCAGAAGCAAGTTTAATAACATAGCTTAGCTTAGCTCTCAAGTTCAATAGCTCTCAAGATCTCAAGAATAATAAATAATAATTAAAAACATGTAATA